TCTTTAATTTATTTTTCGATTCATATTAATTCCAATTAACAGTCTTCAGTCCATGGCATCCGAATCCATGATGCTGACGTAATCACTATCTCGACCCCTCAGCCCCCCATGTCATCAAAAATAAGCAAAACAAAGACCCCCCCTGCCCCCCTATAGTGCTTACGTAATACTTGAACGGCCCCTTTGTCCTATGTGTTAAGAATACTGACGGCTGCAATTTGAGAAAGGACAAGAGGTTTATTTTAAATACTTCCTTGTATATTCATGTGTAACCGCATGAGGTTAGTCGGAGCCGGCGCGCCTGCGCACCGGCGTCACCGGCGCCTCTGGTAATCGAGTCGAGGAGCGAAGGTCGCGAAACCCGAACCTTCCACTCCGCCTCTATCGACTGGAAGGCTCCACTGTGCTGGTCAAGTGAGTCTAGCCACCTAATATCACTGACTTATGAAATAGTGCGTCACCCGCACCTTGCCAACCTTAACCCAATCCCATACCATGTAGAATATTCTTACCACCATTAGTACCGCAATATGATATCTGTAAAATTCCACAGTACTTTGGCAATTGGGCGTAATAAAAATGTGTTATCTTATTATATTATATGCCAGAGGGGCAGGTACCTTATTAACCGATAAAAACACAACACCAAGAAGTACTAGTGATTTTTCAATGTGGTCTTCTCTGAGTCAGAGAACCGAGAGTTCCCAACAAGGGAAGTTTGAGCAAATCCTTTTGTTTCTCTTAATAAAGTAAAACACAATCCTCATTTCATTAGTGTGTTTTAAGTAAACATAAGAATTCTAAGTGTCAGTTTTTAAATTCCACGAGTTTTTGAATAGCCCATTGTTTCGCTGCCATCGATACAGTCCACGATTCGCGGAAACTTTTTTCCCGCTAAACTTTAGAACCTGACCATTTTATTAATAGCGGTCCTTGCACAATTTCACATTACCTACCTACGAAATTGTGCCAATTAAAGATTTAATTCTCAATGGCCAATTTAAAAGCAATTGTTATTCCGAGTGCTCATTGCATAAGAAAATCTTGATTATCTAAATAAGGAAACACGTTACGGACATATTGTTTAGCTGCAGACGAAAACGAGCGATATTTAAATTTCCTTTAAAGTTCTATCAAAAATCAGGATTGTTGTGTAAACTAAGTAGCTACAGACAGATAAACAACGAAATTCATCATAAATAGTGAAGCGTTATTACATTTGTTTGTCTGAAAGCGTTAAAACAGACAAGACAAGAGACAGAAAAGAGTTACTTTCGTGCTTTCGCTTTGTATGGATTGACTCAACTCTTAAGATGAGTCACTCACTATGCAAGACGAGCTAATGTATTTATTAGTTTGAATATCTGTACCGTGTATCTCTGTAGATGTAGTTGGTTTATCTGCATTGTATCCTATGTTATCTGTACAGCCTTCTTTCTAGTTCGAGTCTAATCCGATTATCCATAACTAAATTTCGCTAAAAGATCTGGAGCTCTACTCTCTTTCTCCGAAACGAAATTTCGGTAACGAACGAATTTTAAACGAAATTTCGCCAGTGACTCTACTCTGTTTCATTTTCGAACACGCACATAAAGTTCGGAATCACAGACAATTATTGTGAACGAATGGAATGAATTATGTTTGTGAGTTCTTTTTGTCTACACTTTTTAGATAACGTTTTTTACTTCAAACCAATATTACTTTATGACAACATTTTTGATTACATTAAAACAACCTCTTTTGACAGTGTTAGCCGACTAATTTGTATAGTTGAAGCAATCGAATGTACCTAAATATGTCGTGTAACACTTTGAAGTATTGGTAATACATTAATATACAAAAAACTGATTTATTTGTAAATTTTTCATACAAAAAAATGTTCCTCACGCTAATGAAAAGGTAACACTTTTCATTTCGTCAATTTGAGGTTAAAATTTTAATTATCTGTCAAATTCAATTTTTAGTTCAAAAGTTTTGTGAATTAGAGTAGGCTTAGAGAATTTAAATGTCAAACTATTTTCGAACGAACGAATTTTCGAAATGAAATAGAAACAGAGTAAGGAACGTGCGAAACTTCGATCGAAGTTTCGTTTTTCGTTGAAATAGAGTAGGTTCCTCCTGTTCTTTTAATTAAGAACACTTTTCCATTGTACAAGCTCCATTAGTACAAGCTCTTTGTAATAATGATGATCATAATTCTTAATAACGATTTATTAAGATTAAGAAAATTGACCGATATTATTAAAAGATTACCTACCTATTTATCTGGTTTACTCTCCGATTCTTGTCATTAGAGATCGCATTCCTAATTGTTAAAGTCGTCGGCGGTTGGTCACGCGTTTTTTTTGATTTTACTCGTAAATTAATTATGCGGCGTAGTGGGCATTATCGATGCCGAATCTCCGAACGAATGGCTGACAGTTGACAACACACGACATTGGCAGATTGGCACGCGCATTTTCCAACGGCCGCGCCGCCGCCGTTTGGTCTCATATTCGGCGTTCTTGCTTAACGGAGAAAGTGCACGAACGAAACGCAGCATTACGTTGCGTTGCTATGGAGCGTCTGAAAAGGCGGAATATTGTCAAAATGTCAATTAGTTTCGTAACGCGAACGAGACAATTAGAATACGATGAAAAATAATTAAAAGCAAAAATTGGAATATTTAGTGCTGTTTTTTTGTGTTGGAACGCGTTTAATTTGGATTGCGTAACTTTGAATCTCGCATGAGCTGAGAGTTCTCAGTGCATTGATGTAGCTACATTTGCGTCACGTATTTTTTTACCAACAGATTTTTGTGGTTTGCGAAAAAAGGAGTACTTGGCAGATTTATCTATATATATAAAACTCAAAGGTGACTGACTGACATAGTGATCTATCAACGCACAGCCCAAACCACTGGACGGATCGGGCTGAAATTTGGTATGCAGGTAGATGTTATGACGTAGGCATCCACTAAGAAAGGATTTTGATCAATTCTACTCCCAAGGGGATAAAATAGGGAATGAAAGTTTCTATGAAACTTTGACAATTTTAAACCGATCGGGCTGAGACTTTCATGCAGGTATAAGAATCATAGATGAATGTCATTGTGTATAGTACAAGCCTGAGAACAAAAACTGTAGTCTACACTTCAGCTCTACACCGAAGCGAAGCAAGGGCGGGCCGCTAGTCAATAATACAAGCAGTTATATCCAATTTTAGAAGTTTAAAACTTGACTCGCGTAACTTGAATCTCATAAAAAAGTTTTTACTCGGAGTCAGCTCTGGTATGTAGGTGAGGTGGCGCCTTCTTCTATATCAATATAAAAGTAGGGCCCAGTCAACTACTATTCGGTAATATGAAGAATGATCAAGATAATACGAAATAAATTACCTCTTATACTATAACACGATAGGTAAAAATTAATAACCTCACCATAGAGATCGATTATATCGACCTACGCGTGTACAATTTCCAACCAGTAGCGTATTCCGTATTACATTAAAAATGGTAAATAAAATAATATTTAATAAAAATAGAACAGACTCCAAAAAAACTAAAGTTTAAATGAAAAAATAAGGTTTACTGAGTGATGGTATCGACTTCAAATCTACCTGTAACATATTAATTATAACCACCTACATTTATAACCAATAGAATACAGCATGCAATATTTTCCCTATTATTTGGGTAGCCGTTGAGCAGCTGGCTACACGATTCTTGACATAAGATAGCATCCTTGCAATTTGACATACACACACTACAGCAATGAGTTGCCGCATTTAAGGAGCTGTTGTTTTTTGACAGTCCGGTATCTATTCGAGCGAAGCGAGATCAATAGGGTATTTGACAGTATTAAAAATAAAGTGCCAATTGTTAGCATCTGTATTAAGAATGAATATCGGCAGGAGTTTTTACTATTTTTACAGAAAAATATTCATAATTTTACGAAAAACCCACGATAAAGATAATAGTTTTCTTGTCTTTTGGCACGTAACCCAAAACGCTTGAGATTGGTGGAGCCTAAAATGACGTCACACGCAAGTAAACTTTCGGTGAAAGTGACATTACATTATATGGTTTGACGTTTTAATGACAGGCGTGTGACGTCACACACCAGTGAGACGCCATATTGTCCAGAGATACGTTTTTCGCGGCAACTTGAAAGTAGATTTTTTGATTTAGTTTTTTTACCGGAATACACAACATAATGATGAATATTGAATATCCACTTTTTATGGACTTTATAAACATTAGCAAATAACGTGAGATCGTTTTCTAAAACTTGTCAAATACCCTATTATTCATCTATGCTTCTAAACTTTACGCACATATACATACACGTTAAGCTGTGTACAACTAACACGTAATCAATTCATCGACATGACCAATACAACCTTTCCTTTAAATTGACGTCAAAGTGATTCAACATATCAGCGATACGATAAATGTTACATGAACTAGGAACGTTTATTACGCAAATCCATTATTCCGAATAGGTGCTAATACGCCCGCAGTGTTGCCATCATTTTTGCTTATTTATTTTCTCGAACTCACAGCAGCTATTGGCTGGCAACTACTAGAATACTGTTTAGTTGCTGCTCCAGGTTCTCCACAGGAGGAGAATTCTGACAGTAGCTTCTAGTTAGGTGCAGAATATAAATCTTACAATTTTATTATTTATATAACGATTTTTATTTACAATTAAGAATTGTTATGACTTATTCGTTAATTATGTAACTTTATTAATATCACGCCTAAAATAACACGTGTTTTACCATGACAGAGATTTGTGGCAAATAACATGCATTGACTGCGAATCCTGCATTATCTGGCTTTACGCATTAGGCTCCTTACATCTTATTCAATAGTAGTTATTATTATTATTAATACATCCGGCTCTCACAAAATCTAGATTTTTTACGGATCGGGCTTCTCGAACCCAGTGAACTCCTCCGACTATCGCGTTAGCCAGCTTTATGCATTAGGCGCTTTGCTTTGTCTTGGATACATCCAGCTCTCACGAGATCTGGATAGGCACCTCGCGCCATCCTCCAGCCTCGCAGACTCCTCCGACTCAGTCGGCCCCCGGCTTCACGTATTAGACCCCTTGCGGCTACACTTCCGGCTCCAAAGTTATCTGAATTTTCCGATAGAGCTCCTTACACCATCTCGTCGACTCCTCCGTCTACCACGTCATCCGGCTATACGCATTAGACATCTTGCACTATCGTGGACTTTCCTGACTTCGTCTGTCGTTTCACCGCTATATTAAATTGTTTAGGAGATTTCAACCTTATTGCAAATGCGAAAGATCTAACTATCTATATATTAGGACATGAACAACTTGGTACTAAGGTGTGAGGACTCATGAACTCCATGCCGATAGTGAGCGGTGTGATAGCATAAAGCGGCTTTGGGCATATGTCGAACAAAATTTTATCTGAACTCATTCCCATAAAACAAGCTGTAGATAGAATATTTTAAGAAAGCAAAATCTATCATAAGACTAAAAGTTTCAATACCTCGCGCTTTCTTTGATTCCGGCTGCCGTTTCCACAAGGATTTCTGATCAAACAAATCTAAAGTGAAGTCACCTCAGAAACCCAATACCTTTGTAAACTCATTTGCTTTCGGATTCCTTGATTTGTATCATATGTCTTATACTAAACAAGAGACTGTGATGGCAATATATTAAAGCTAATCAATCAATTCTGACTGATGACTCTGTTCTCAGAAATTGCTCTCGAAATCGAAAGTAATGTTTTTAAGCAGACAGTAAATACCGTCAACCGGTCAAAACAACTAGATTATTGCCGTAGACACGATCTGGAAAATGTGTCACTGATGTTTACAAATAATAAGTTAGAATCCCCAAGCACCCAACTAATATTATGTATGTTGTTGTTGATCACATAGCCAAAGTTCTAATTTATTCAAAGCTGACAAAGGACATGGCTAAGAAACTGCCCGTAACTTTACAATATTTTTTTATTAATTGTCACGTGTTTATTATTCTCCTACAACTTCGAAAATTTTGAAATAATCAAATATTTAAAAGTATAAAAATTGACTTCATGTCTGTGTAAAAAGCAAAATGTTCCGTTTTACTAAATAAATGAATAATACATGTACACAAAAAAATAATTGTAAGTATATCGAAATAAACTATATTATTTCTAAACTCCTTCAAACTATGACATATTTGGCACTAATTTTAATTATAATTAATCACTGAAGGCCTAAAATAATAGATTTTTATTATTCTGATCAGGCTTGAGACAAGGCTATATGATAATTAATCCTTTAATTTTTGCAAATGGACAAAATAAAACTTCAAATATTTTCTGTCAGGCCGACGATAACAAATTATTTGTATTTATTTTTGCTTTAAATTTTCAAGATTGTGATTTTATTAAAAGTTCCCGAATCGTTTTTCATAGAAATTATGAATAATATTCAGCCATTTACCAATAAATATTACTAAGTACAGTATTTATACATTGTCGGGCAGTCGCCCATACAAAACTTTTCCATGTCCTTTCTCCCAACTTTATGTTGCATGATAATTATTTTCGATGTTGCAGAGAACCGTTCCTTTTCCTGGACTTTTTTAGGCACTAGTGGTACAGATCCGTCTATTTTGTAGTCTCTTTAGCAACCTTCTTACGGTTTTATGAAGTGCCCATGAGAGTGCTTTCATAATTGTATACTTAACCAACTTCACTGATCCCGCCACGCTCCGCCGAAATGAGTGATCATTCCAAAATACCAAAAATATTAAATTATAATTAACCTCAAAAAGATCTATAAGAATTTATCAGTTTACATTACAATTAGCGGGAAGTCATTTATCACACATCTTTTTTATTACAACAAATATTACATCAGAAAATATTAAAACGTGTCGACACTATATTAGTATTTACAATATATAAAAAAATCTTTTTTTATTCGATGGTCTTACTTAATTGGCGCTTGGTTTCCTATTCAAACAACAATTATATTGTAGGTGTTGATAACATAGATTCCAACTAGTTTTTTATTGACATGGGAAATCGCAAATGAAAATTATATAGATAAAACAAACATTTATCGGTCACTCGTATTCGTGTTATAGACGCAATAAGTTGCGACGCAATTATCATTGGTAAAGCAATCTACTTGGAGGACGAACACTGAAATTATTAGCTTAATCTTGTTGGAACGCGAATATAATTTTGATTCTGATTTAACTGCTCTTCTCTGTATCATATTTAATCAACCTTTTTACATCAATCTTTTTATCTGGCTGGACAACCGGTGTTTTGACAGAAACATAAACAGGAGATTTCAAATTGTAACAACATGCTGACAATATGTTCATGCTATTATTGGAATAATGTAGCAAATTTTTAATGACACACATAAGAAAGTAATGGCAAAAAAATTAAGCTTAATTAAGACCTTCTATTTACCAAACTGAACTAACAAGTATATACTTAAAAGAAACAAATTTTATTTAAATTAAATTATAAAAAACTAGTGGGGTCCGCTAGATATGAGTTTACTATGTAATTTACCTATTTGGCCGCTAAGTACGACAGAAATGGATTTTCATACAACTTTTGCCGGCCGCTGCTCGCGTGTAAGTAGCCAGTACAAAAATGTTTTTTAAATTGCAATATCATTGACGATATGATCTCATATTAGCAAGGAGGTCATCCATTTCAATTTACTCCCGCCCAAGAGACTTCACGACTGGATAGCCTTTTCGTGGGATGTAACTAATCTAAGATTATAAACTTGTAAGATCAAATTGCATCTAAATACCTGAGCTTGTTCAGTATATATAACCATAATCTTAAATGTCAGTCACATCACAATATGAATACTAGAAGAATTATCTTCCAATAATTAAGTACTTCAACGGTTATTTGCTATAATCTCAATAGCACAAAATCATTTAACCGTTTGGTGTGCAAAATCAAAACGCACGTTAGATACGAAGGTCACTGGCCTTAATTAAATTGCGCAAAACGTATGGAATGCTCACGAGATATCCTTTAATGCACGACCTCTTTGTTCGTTAACATAACATACATCAATCCTAATTTAATAGTGCTGCAACATCCCATTCCTTAAGGGCTGGAAGGTTCTCTTTGCTGTCAAAATATTTAAGAAAATAAATGATATAATTTTTATTATTTTTAAGCATGTAACTGCTTGATGTTTATATCTAAAGAAAATATAACTAGAAAAAATTCCACGCGGACCAGACAATATAAATTTCTAACTATAATTGCTATTTCTTCTTTCAAATGTTTAATACTTGTAAAAGTATTCATTTGACATTGTGGGTTACCTATAATGCGAAGAAATGGCGCTGCCTTGCAGCTTAAGAATGGCTAGAAGAATTTCGACGCGGTCCGTGAAGGCCGCGTTAGCATAATTGGTCAGTGCATTCGCCCGGATTGCGAAGGGTGCGGGTTCGAGTCCCGTCTGCTGCCTGGTCCGCGTGGAATTTTTTCTAGTTATATTTTCTTTAGATTTAAACATCAAGCAGTTACACGCTTAAAAATAATAAAAATTATAACTATAATTGCTATTTCTTCTTTGAAATGTTTAATACTTGTAAAAATATACATTTGACATTGTGGGTTACCTATAATGCGAAGAAATGGCGCTGCCTTGCAACTTAAGGGGGTAGCCTGCAACTTGTGAAGTACTCCCACTATACCTGATCCCTTTAAATAGGGTCAAAGAGCAACACGGCCGACGCGGCCAGGGGCCATTCGCCAAAATGGAAAGGTTTTCAAATGCCTCGCGCTCTTTTTTTTTCTTTTTCATTAGTAATCATCATCAGCCTATTGCATCAGGCCATGACCCACCACGCGGGCCCAGTGCGGGTTGGTGGGTGCTAACGACTGCAGATGCAGCCGGGACCAACGGCTTAACGTGCCTTCCGAAGCACGGAGGAGCTCGAGATAGTAAATTTTTGGTCACCCATCCGATGACCGACCACTGCGAAAATTGCTTCACTTCAACGATCGCTAACCACTGGCGCCATCGAGCTCCTCATTAGTAATAATAATATTAAAAAAAATGACCGTGAGATATTTGAAAACTCTTCTTCTGACCATCAGAAAACCCAAAATAAAATCGAAAGCGTTAGCGTTTTCCAAAGCATTTCCATTAGGCGAATGTCCTAGGGGCCATCTCGCTACTAGGGTAGGCATACACAGCTTTCCCCTCTGCCGGGTTGGGCATACAAACGATACGTTTATGTGTGAGTGTCGTAGTTATTTGTGTCTTCGTTAAACTACATTTGTGTGCATATTCTCGCCCGCAAAAAATACAGAATGATTTGAATAATATTATGTCGCTATGGCTACTCTCCCTTCCATGTTGTGTTGCTCTAGGTATATATATGGTCGAACGTAAAAAATATTGTAACAATCTACCATGACTTTTGGTTGCATCTCAATCGTCAGTCTTTTGAATAGAAGCTAATGTATAGTTTAAGGAGCATCCCTTCTCAATGACTGACTCGCTCGAATTATTATCTTTTCCCCCTATTTTCTACCCCTTCGTACGGCGAGCCCCACATCATGTAAACCGGTAGCTACTATTCAAAGTAGAATATTTTTTTTGATCTTTACAATAAGAATTGACGATATTTGGTTCAATAACTTTAAGAGATTTGAGACACGCCATTTTCTATTCACTCAATACTGAAACACGTGACAACTGACATTATAAAGTTTGCTCTGTGGAAGATACTACAGAGGAAAAATATTTTGCACAAGGGGCCTATTTATAACCCGCTTGTTTTAAAAATAGACATTCGCGAGTGTACGGTCAACTGTTCAATATATCATTCGATTATGACCTTTATTATTAACAGGGTAAGGAACAAAACCGTTCAATGTGGCGGCGTAGTTAGTGCACTGCCGAAGCCTTCGCAAGGGTTCAATAGTACGATAATGTTCAGAATAAATGAACCAATAGAAATTCTTATGCATTGTATGTTGACCTTTGCTTGCAATATTTCTAATAATAACCGCTTATCGCGTTTTGTTTTAATACGCATTTATCATTGTGTATCTCTCTCTATCTCACTTGT